CATATTATGTCATCTTCATGATCCCATGAAAACAAATTTGGGGTGTTTGTAGGATGGAAAATTGAAGACATTCGAACACATGACTATATACAACCTTTCAAAAAAAAATGAAAAGAGAAACAAATCCTGCTTCTTGAAGAGAACAAGACATTATTATATTTTTCAAGTAGAAATTTGAGTCTTATATGCCATTTAAAGAAAAAAACACAAAGCCACGTTGCCGACTTCAATAGAGGGTAATTTTTCACCTGCCAGGTCTGTCAAATCCATTTTATTTCACAAATTGGACAGCCGTATCTGTGTGTTTTCTATCAGCCATAAGAAAATGGTATTCTTTTGATTAGTAGTATTGGGTTTTATTTTTGGATGTTCCCTCTTTTTATCAAGGACAGGGAAAAGTATCTAGACAGTATTCAATATTTTTGAAAGCACATGATATTTACAAAGGATAAGACTAAAATAAAACTTAAACCATTTGGTAAACATTACTTCATGAACCTTAGAACTACCTTTGAGACAAAATGGAGGCATGAAGGACAAAAACTGCTATGTGCCAGAAACTGAAGTTACAGGATAATTTATATAGATCATCTCCCTCAGGCCTTACAAAAACCCTATGAGATGGATAGTCTTATTTCCATTGTAAAGATAAGAAAATTGAGCTAGGTAAAACCAGTAATTGGCACAAGTTGACAAAAAGGGTAAAGGAAAGGGAGCCAGGATTCAAATGTAGCTCTTATGGCTTAAAAATTCATGCTCTGATGGCCATCTAAGATGTAACTTTTGGTCTCCTCCAGTCTGGAGCAAAGAAGAATAATGAAGATCAAAGTCATCTGGAAACAATTAGGCTAAAGACAAGATAGACCACGAGGACCTCAGCCTCCACCACCTGACACCAGAAGAACTAGATGGTGCCTGGCTACCAATGCCAACTGCTCAGAAAGGGATCAAATCTGGAAATCCAGGATAGAGTGGGAAGAAAAATGTGGAACAAAATTCAAAAACACAAAAATGACCAGAATTGCTGGTCAGAGAGAGACTGGGTTACCCTCAGGCCTAGAAACGGACTCACTTAGATGGATTGGCTCTCAGTCCAACAGTAGAAAGACCTACATACAGAACACCTACCCCAGGTTGATGCACCCACCTACTCTTGGGAGATGCACCCCTTGGATCAATCAGCCATGAGACACGAGAGGGGTAGCACTCAAGGAGCACAAGCTAGACAGACAGGAATCCATGGATGAGAAGGGCACAGGGAAGGAGCTGGTCACAGTGGGGAAAGGAGAGGAGTTTTTTTACGGTTGGGGACAGTAATCAGGGCTATGGAATTAGATGTGCATGAACCGTTGAATGTAAAACAAGTTTGCTATGTAAATTTGCACCCAAAGCAAAATAAAAATTAAGAAAACAACAACAACAGATGCTGAGTGGCTTATAATGAGAGAAAAACGGAAATAATCTAAATGTCAACACAGGAATTAATTAAATAAATTATAGTATATCCACACAAAGGAATCATGCATAAGCTATTTGGCTGCTAACCCTCCAGGAGCTCCATGGAAGAGTGATTAACTTCCATAAAGATTTACAGCCATGGAAACCCCACACTATGAGTTGGAATTGATTCAACAGCAATGAGTTTCATTTAGGTTAGTTTATATTTACAAATGTATAGAGATAGATAATTAGATACTGACACAATATCTACACACTTACAGATGGGGTAAAGACAAAGGATGAGAGAATAACATGATAAAGGAAATGTAGCAAAATGTCACCAATTTGCAATCTAGGTAAAGCATGCCTGGGAGTTCCTTGGGCTATTTTTTCCACTTTTCTGTAAATCTGAAATTAACTCAAAAAGTTTAAATAATAGAAATTTTATCTTTCAAACACTTACACCTGATACAAGGCGATACTACTTTAAAGAGTCTTTAACTCTTGAAGCAAGGGTTCCATGATCACTTTGTGCATTCCTCTTTACAGTGTTTGTCACAGAATGACTGGCCATTTATTTAGTTGTGTCTTTTCCAGAGCACAGAAATACGTGTGAAGCTTCCCACTTTGTTTCACGAGGCCAGCACAATCTTGACAGCAGAATTTGACAAACATGGCACACAAAAATCCATAGACTGATATGAATCATCAATATAGACACAAAATTATAAAACAAAATAATTAGCTCATTCAGTTCTAGCAATGCCTTAAGAGAAAATACACCACTCAGTTGTTGTTATTGTTGTTATGTGCTGTCAAGTCGTACCCGACTCATAGCGTCCCCTCCTTGGGTTTCCGAGGTAGCATCACTATAGAAGTAGATTGCCCCATCTTCCTTCTGAGGAGTGGCAGGTGGGTTTGAATTGCCAGCCTTCTAGTTAGCAGTCAAGTGCCTTAGCCACTATGCTACCATAGCTCCCAACTCTCAGAGACAGAATTTATTTCAAAATTCTAAGGTTCGCTCAGTATGAGACAATGTAGAGAATTTCAAAGAGATACTCCATCTTATCCTCTTAATGAATGGTGAAAAAGCATTTTTCTTGAGCAATACCTTTTTGCAAAGTAGAATTAATAGAACACAGTAAAGACTATCTATCAGAAACAAAGAGAAAAAATATAGGGGGGGGGGGGCAAGGAGAAAAAAAAAAAAAAAAAGAAAAAAAAAAAAAAATATAGGGGGGGGGGGGCAAGGAGAAAAAAAAAAAAAAAAAGAAAAAAAAAAAAAAATATAGGGGGGGGGGGGCAAGGAGAAATACTGGAGGCATTCACACCTAAGCTAGAAACAAGGAAATTATAACCACTCTCACTGCTATTATTCAACACTGCTCTAGAGGCTGTACCTAATACACTAAGACAGGAAAAAGGAAAGGAAGAGAATAATTATACTTTCCTAACTTTTTGATTAGCTATCTAAAAGATACAAAAGAAGCCACTGGAAAGCTATTAACTAATAAGACAGTTTCAATCAGATCCTGATATAAATATATTAAAGCTTTACTTTACACCAGGCATCAAGAGATGTCAAAATTTTTCTGTAAGGGCCAGATAGTATATATATTTTTGGTCTGGTAGGCCATAGTCATCGTCATTAACTATTGAACTCTGTCATTGTAGCACAAAAGCAGCCACACATAAGGCATAAATGAATGGATGCAGCTGTGTGCCAATAAAACTTTATTTACAAAAACAGGCAATGCACTGGATTTGGCCCACAGGTCATAGTTGGCTGGCCTTGACTTCAGAACGCAAAAAACTGATGATGTGGAAAAGTTATCATTTAAAAAGGCAAGAAATATACAAAGACCTAGAAATAAACTTTCTGAAAGGTGATTTGGCTAGATGCATCAAATATTAAATTGTGAGCATTCTTTCAATCCCACAATTCCATTTCTGGGAATTTACCCTACGGATACATTTATGTAAATACATAAAAATGTGTACTCAATGTTTACTACAGTGTTATTCACAATAAGAAAATATATCTACCAACATAAAACAAGGAGCTCTGGTAGCGTAGTGCATAAGGCACCTGACTGCTAACCAGAAAGCTGGCGGTTCAAACCCACCAGCCACTCCTCAGAAGGAAGGTTGGGCAATCTACTTCCGTAGTGATACTGCCTCAGAAACCCAAGGAGGGGTCGCTATGAGTTGGGTCCAACTCAATGGCACATAACGACATAAAACATGTCCACAAGGAATGTAAAATTTTTAAAGCAGGTTACAGACTAGTATTCATAATGCTAGCTAATTTTTAAATATATGGATGTGCACATGAGAGAAAACATATATACCTGCACATGGAAAAAAAATCTAGAAAGATATATCCCCAATTGCTTTATCTGCAGTTATTTCCAGGGGTGGATTTATGAGAGACTTACTTTCTGCTCTTTACCTGTCAGTATTGCTGGTGTAGTGCCTAAGGCATTTGACTGCTAACCAGAAGACTGGCAGTTCAAACCCACCAGGCACTCCTCAGAAGGAAGACTGGAAAATCTACTTCCATAGAGATACTCCCTCGGAATCCCAAGGAGGGGTCACTACGAGTCGAATCGAATCGACTTGACGGCAGTGAGTTTGGGGTTTTTTTGTTTTTGTTTTTGTTTTTGTTTTTTGGTATTGTTCTTCTTATTTTTGCAACTGGGATTAGAAATTTAAATTTTCATTTTTACAAAAAACCTCTGTCCTGCTCTGAACTATTTACCTTCATTTCTATAAACTGTGAAGGAACCTATATACAGCATCCTCTTCAAACAAAGCATATATATATATAATGATTTGCATTTTTACATTAAGACAGTCCAAAAAATTCTCTATCCTAACCACTTCATGCCCTGGTTATAAAATTCCTTTGGATATAACTAATGTAGAGGATCATGTATCTAGAAACACTGTCTTTTTCTTACCCTTCCATGATATTTCCACACGCATACACACATGTATGCACACGTGCACATAGGAGCATTTGTGTGTGAGCTTGTCATTGGTAGAGAGGTTACAGGAAAAAAGAGTGTCCCCAGAGCCAATTTTGAGTTAACAGGAACAATATGACAACTACAAGGTCATCCAGAGTTCTCAAAAGTGATGTCAAGAGACGATGAGGTGTTAAGTATAGTTTGTAAGCCATGGAAGTCCAGCACACAATGAGCAAGAGATATAGTGTACTCTGCACAGCACAGAAAAATAAGTATATTGCTATAACATAATCTTTACTAACTGCACTTTTGCTCCCAATCTCAGTTAAATACAAGCTGTTTATCCTTCACTCCTCACGAGAGCTTACTATCATCAAATGTGACCCTAACGACCTACCTTACCATTGCATTGAGATCCAGCACAATGGAATTCCACAAAGTTTCCTTTAAATCTTCCATTTAAAACATTCTTGGGAATTAATTTACTACAGTTAGAAAGTGAGCAGGCCTGCTTCAAACCCCAAACTATGTTTCCTTCTCAAATATTGCCCTCTGTATAGTACATCACAAAACCCAAGAGAAACTTACCTTTCAACTTGAGGTCAACATTATGTCTCAGCCAAGGATAAACCCCGTAGCTTGGCATATCTTCAGGAATTGGATTATTGTTTATCCAGCCATCACAAGAAAACCGGAAGAAATTATCACAGGGATCCACAGACAGATTGATTTTACTCAAGATGGCAGCAGCTATTTAAAAAGAAAATCACAGGATCAATAACAAGCACTGAATGTTGTGTACTATTCTTTTCCAAATTAAGCAACCATTTCATATCAACCAGTTGCCAAGCCTTGGCTTTTACATTTTCCCTCAAATGACTCTGAATCAACTTCACTAGATGAAATTACTACATTCTGAGTGAGTGGATAAAAGTTTGGTGGTATTACTGTTATTTGGTTTTGCAGGGTGCAGGATAAGAATACATATGGAGTCAGAGGTAGATTACCCGCAAAGCTGAGAGCAACTATTCCTTCCGCCCTGCTCACCCTTCTGCAAAGTGACTTTGCCCGTCTCCCCAATAAGTGGCAAGGCCTATCTCCCCTGCCCTGAATATGGGCTAGCCTTGTTACTTGCTTTGACCAGTGTTTACATTTTGGTGAGTTTCAAAGCCTAGGCCTTAAGAGACCTTGCAGCTTTCATTATATTCTCTCAGAATGGAGTCTGGGGCTGCCCTTTAAGGCAGGCTCCCAGAGGACAAGAAACCCCATGGAAGAGAACCAAGGCCACTCCAACTGCCATACAGGACTGAGGTCTTCATGGACCTTCCACCCGAATGCAGCTGCATGAGTGAGCCTGGGCAGAATCAGCAGAGGAGCTTCCCACCCAACCCACAGAATCATAATAACTACGAATAAATATTAATAATAATAAATATTCCTGTTTCAGGCCTCTACGGTTCGGGGTGGTTTGTTTCACAGCAAAAGCTAACTGAAACAGGGCCACACATGTCATATAACTAAATATTTACAAAGTATATTTACAATATCCTCTCATAAAGGTCTGGAAGGTGAGGTTTGAACTTAGAATTCTTGAGTTCCTTGACATTCAATGCAGCCCTCAGAGGACTGAGCCCCTCAAGAAACTCATCCAAGCTCTGCAAGGAGCCTTGGGGCCATCTGGCAGGGAATTCTGAGGTACAGAAGGAGAGAGCCATTGGCCTAGCCTCACAAACTCCTTGACTAGGGGAGGGGCATGGCCAGAGGAGTGAAAAAATAGGGCCCTCTAAACAAGAGCCCAGGGCAGTGTCCCTCTTGCCCAAATCTAGGAGAACTGAGTATCTGTATAAGTTAACAGGAAAATAAAATAGGTGATCTGTTTTTTCTTCTTCCATAAGCACATACACAATTACATATGCAAGATAGTTGACAGGTAGAAAATTTGTGAATCTGTAAATATGTATCCATAGCTTGAAAAAACAGTTTTCCCCAAAGAACATCTAAGTCAACTGTCATAACATGGTCCACAAAGACAAAGATCCACATGCTACTTTGCTGAGTAGCAGCTGGGGTCTGAAAAGATTACAAATGGCCATCAACTGTTAGTCTCTACCCATCTAAAGCAAAGGAGAGTGAAGAAAATCAAAGACTCGAGGAAACAATTAGTGCAAAGAACTAATTTACCACACAAACCACAGCCTCCACTGGCCTGAGCCCAGAAGAAATAGATGGTGCCCCAACAATCACTACCTACCACTCTGATAGGGATCGCAATAGGAGGTCCTGGACAGAGTAGGAGAAAAATTCAGAACAAAATTCAAAAACACAAAAAAGACTAAACTTACTGGTCTGATTGAAACTGGAAGAATCCTTGAGACTATGGTCCTCAGACACCTTTTGTAGTGGTTGTTTATGTGTCAACTTGGCTGGGCCTGGCTGAGTGGCTGGGCAGCTGGATGTAGTATTTCCCATGATGAGACTGGTAATCAACTCCATGATGGAATCTACTGTGAGCAGCTGAGTAGCTGCCTTTGGGATGTGATCTGCAACCTGTCTATAAGAGAGCCTTGGGGAATGGTCTCTAGCCTATGGCACACTTGGACCCTGCACGTAGCCATGTCCTTGTTCAGCAGCCTGCTATGCTCTGTTGACCTTGGGACTTACAATGGACTTAAGTTAATGGCCTGCCATAAGGAGGGGTTGCTATGAGTCAGGTCCCACTCGATGGCAAACAACAACAATAAGCCTGAGGGAGATGGGGGCAGTGGTGGCTCAGTGGCAGAAGTTTCACCTTCCAAGCAGGAGACCCTGTTCCATTCCCAGTCAATGTACCTCAAGTGTAGTCACCACCCGCCTGTCGGTGGAGGTTTACGTGTTGCTATGATGCTACACAGGTTTCAGCAGAACTTCCAGACCAACATGGACTAGGAAGAGAGGCCTGGTGATCTACTTCTGAAAATCAGTCAATGAAAGTCCTATGGATCGCAACAGTATGCTCTCCATCCAATCGCAGGGATGGCCCAGGCGGCATTAGTTCTGTTATGCGATGGGTCTCCATGAATTCTGAACCACTAGAGGGCAGCGAACATCCACCTTAGACCAACTGAATCAGAAACACTAGGGGTGGGGCCCAACCACTACCTATTAACAAGCCCTACTGGTTACTAGGGAGCACTGGTGGCATAGTACCTAAGGCACTTGACTGCTAACCAGAAGGCTAGTAGTTCAAACCCACCAGCCATTACTCAGAAGGAAGATGGGGCAATCTTCATCCAAAGCGATGCTGCCTCGGAAACCCAAGGAGGGGGTCACTATGAGTCGGGTCTAACTCCACGGCACATAACAACAAACAACAACATATCCTGCATCAGAATCTACGTGTATCAAGATTACTAGGTGATTCTTATGTACAACAGTATATACCTGGAGTTCCGGCAAGATGATGGACTAGGCAGAAAGACTGCACAGACCCTCTTAGACAAAGAAAAGGGAAACCAATTGACACAGACACAGAAGATAATCTTGGATGCCTGAACCTTGAAGGGAAGGATATAGAAGTGGACTAAACCCCAACTAGCAGAAGAATTTGCGTGAAAATACCAAAAAACGAGACAGACGGAGCTGCGGTATGGCAGCGATCCTGAATGATCCTGACGGCACAGACAGCTTGGAGATTCCCAAGTGGTGGTAGGACCTAAGAAATAACCTAAAAATCACCCTACTAGCCAGGGACTGCACGGAGGACTGTACACGGTGACTGGGGAACAAATGGAGAAGTGAAGAGAAAGGTGGGCAGAACTGTGG